AACAAAACAAAACAAAAATTATACTGTAAATTACGAGGAATTTCAACTAGGTGCATGGAGGAGAAAAAAACCTCTGTTGCTGAAAGAATGATGGAAGTGAAGCCTTAAACTCCATACATCTCACTCTGGGATTTCTCAGTTTTATTTTTGCTTCCAAGGCAGGATCTTGCTCTGTCGCCCAGGCTGGAGTGCAGTGGTGCAATCACAGCTCACAGCAACGTCAATCTGGGCTCAAGTGATCCTCTTTCCACCTCAGCCTCCCAAATGGCTAGGACTACAAGCACATGCTGACATGCTCAGCTATTTTTTATTTTTACTTTTAATTTTAGTAGAGACAAAGTCTTGCTATGTTCCCCAGGCTGGTCTCAAACACCTGAGCTTATGCCATTGTCCTGCCTCAGCCTCCCAAAGTGCTGGGATTACAGATATAAGCCACCTTGCTCAGCCTCATTGATTTTATGAATAATTCTAACAGCTCTGCCAAGGATAATCAGAATTTTTTTTGAATTACAAAACTAGATATGAAAATTAGAAGACTCATAGAGACAGGGACATTTACTGCAGCAGTGATTGCTCAGAGGAAGAGAGAGGAAGGGAGGAGAGAGAGACTGAGACTACTGAATCACAATTTAGCATAAAAATTAGTGATCATAATATGGACAAGAGACAGGGAAATACTGGATAGAAGAGGGTGGTTCCCCAGCAAAAGCCCCACCCTCAAGCCTGGAGACCCTCGGCCCTAAGTGGGAACGGGCATTTCTGTTTTTGTGCCCTGAAAGTTGCCTTTTGACCTGCTATGGCCCCCATTTGGTACCCATATAACCCTGAACTTTAGGCTCCAGAAGCAGACGAGCAGATGAGATGAGGAGACAAGCAGATGAATGGCAGAATGAAGTGGCAGAGAAAGAGAGAAGAGGAGGAACATCTGAACGCCAAGAGGAGTTAGGCTGGGGGTGGTGGGAGAGGAGTTTAGCCTCTGGATGGCCAAACTCCAGGGGAAGATAATCTTCCCACTGCATCCCCACTTTCAGCTCCCTATCCATCCTGCTGAGAGCCACCTTTACCGCTCATTAAAACCCTGCATTCATCCTTCAAGTCTGTGTGCAACCTAATTCTTCCTGGATGCTGGGCAAGAGCTTGGGATACAGAAAGCTCTCACACTGGCCCTCTGCCCTTGCAAAAAGGCAGAGAGTCCATTGAGCTGGTTAACAGTTATGCTGTCTGTGGACAGCAATGCTAAAAGAGCCTTGTAACACTGGGGCTGCAGGCACCCACCCCTAGACACCACTGCGGTGCTGGAGCCCAAAGCACTTGCCCTGACTCCTGCACCTTACAGTCTGCATGCTCCCCTTCTTGTCAGGGGTTTGAGCAACGGTCACTGAACAGGCGAGTCACACCCGTGTTGCACATCCTTCGAGGGGGATCAGGAACTCTCCCATTTCAATAATTACTATTCTGTGTTGTTAAGATTATATTTGGGGTTATTTATTTAGAAAAAAAGGAAATATAGAAAATGTTTTGGAAATATTCCATTCAAAAGGGTGAATATAAAGTATTCAGACATGAGGATAGACTTTTGTTATCAAGCAACATATATTTATCGAGCATCTCTGATAGAGGGATGGATTCAAAGATTGTTCTGCCTTCAGGGAGTTTACACACATGTACTTGAAAAACTAGCAATGGAAACGGTGTGTGATAGGATTTTGATGAAAACACTAAGCATCTAAGGAGATCAGGGAATGAGAACAGCTTTGTGGCTGCAAAGATCTGAAAAAGAGCTGGATCTGAAATGGAATCTAGGAAGGATTCACTGAGGCAAAGGAAAGGAGGAAAGGGGTGAGGAGAGAGAAAAGAATTAATATAGGGAATTGTATGAGAAAGGCCAACAACGTGTGGAGTGCATTTTAGTCCCACAATGCCAACAAAGAAAGCATTTATAGATAAAGTGTCTGGCTTCCATTTTTAACGAGAGAGAATTTTAAATAAGCAAGAATATAAGTTTCTACTTTGAGGTATTAATTACTATCATTTCAGCAAAATGTTTATCTTCTCTCAGAATTCAATACATGGTAAATCATTATTTTTAAAGAAAACTGAGGTTTCAGAAATTACTCCAAGGTGAAAGCTAGTCTTTATTACTCTGATCTAAATTATTATGCATCTTGTCTGTTTTTTTTTTCTTCAACTTTTATTTTAAGTTCTGGTCCAAGGTGAAAGCTGGTCTTTATTACACTGATCTAAATTATTATCTATCTGATCCTTTTTTTTCCTTCAACTTTTAAGTTCTGGGGTACGTGCGCAGGATGTGCAGGTTTGTTACGTAGGTAAATGTGTGCCATGATGGTTTGCTGCACGGATCAACCCATCACTTAGGTATTAAGGCCAGCATCCATTAACTATTCTTCCTGATGCTGTCCCTCCTGTCCCCTGGACAGGCCCCAGCGTGTGTTGTTCCCCATGATGTGTCCATGTAGTCTCATAGTTCAGCTCCCACTTGTAAGTGAGAACATGTGATGTTTATTTTTCTGTTCCTGCATTATTTGCTGAGGTTAATGGCTTCCAGCTCCATCCGTGTCCCTGCAAAGGACATGATCTCATTCTTTTTGATGGGTGCATGGTATCCCATGGTGTATATGCACCACATTTTCTTAATCCAGTCTATCACTGATGGGCATTTAAGTTCTATCTTGTCCTTTTAAACTGTTCATTGTAACATCTTGAGTATAATAATTTGAAACCTTCCATTTTGCTATTTTTATATAAATCTTTTCATCTGTTAAATCTTATAACTATAAATGTTTACTTACATTATTTTATAAGTACATCAATTTTTGTAACTTTTAATTGACTATTGAAAATAGCATTAATTAGTACCAATTACAGATCATTAAGCTCAACATTATATGTTGTAAAAATTATCAAAGATCACTGATCATTAGAGAAATGCAAATCCAAACCACAATGAGATACCATCTTATGCCATTCAGAATGGTGATTATTAAAAAGTGAAGGAACAACAGATGCTGGTGAGGTTGCAGAGAAAAAGGAATGCTTTTACACTGTTGGTGGGAACGTAAATTAGTTCAACCATTGTGAAAGACAGGGTGGTGATTTCTCAAAGATCTAGAAGCAAAATTGCCATTTGACTCAGCAATCCCATTACCAAGTATATCTCCAAAGGAATATAAAATATTCTGTTATAAAGCTACATGCACTTGTATATTCATTGCAGCACTATTCACAATAGCAAATCAAACCAAATGCCCATCAATAATAGACTGGATAAAGAAAATGTGGTACATATACACTATGGGATACCATGCAGCCATGAAAAGGAATGAGGTCATGTCCTTTGCAGGGACATGGATGGAACTGTAAGCCCTTATCCTCAGCAAACTAATGCAGGAACAGAAAAACAAATACTGTGTGTTCTCATTTGTAAGTGGGAGCTGAACAATGAGAATACATGGACACATGGTGGGAAACAACACACTGGGGCCTGTTGAGGGGGTTTAGGGGAGGGAGAGCATCAGGAAGAATAGCTAATGGATGCTGGGCTGCATACCTAAATGATGGGTTGGTCTGTGCAGGAAACCACCATGGCACACATTTACCTATGTAACAAACCTGCACATCCTGCACACGTATCCCAGAACTTAAAAGTTGAAGAAAAAAAATTATCAAAGATGAAAGGGCAGTTATTTTATAGAGATAGAAACTTGAGAGAGTAGATGTGCTTTTATTCTTTTTAAAATATTCACATAAATAGATTCTGATATTTCCTTATATGTGGTTGCAGTTAATGATAGAGTGGGGCTAAGAGAAAAGAAATTAACAGATGTTAAAAAGAAAATTATTTAGCAACTTATTTTTAAAAAGTAGCTTGTGGCTTATTGGAACACAAATTATATAATAGTGTTTTATGTATATATATGTGTGTATATATTAATATATATACACATGATCACAATTATATATATTTCATATATATATTTCATATATATAATGTGTATATATATATAGTGTGTACATGTACACATATATGTGAAATATAGTGATTTTTTCCAGTAAAAATCTTTTTATTGTGGAAAATCTTTTTTTATTTTTATTTTAAAATTTTTTATTTTAATTTTTGAGGGTATTGTGTATATTTATGGGGTACATGAGATATTTTGATACAGGCTGCAATGTGTAATATTCACATCATGTAATATGGGGTGTCCATCCCCTCAAGCATTTATTTGTGTTACAAACAATCCATCATACTCTTTTAGTCATATTAAAATGCACAATTAAATTACTGTTGACTGTAGTCTCCCTGTTGTGCTATCAAATACCAGGTCTTATTCATTCTTTTAAAAAATTTCCAACTTTTATTAAGTTCCAGGGTACATGTGCAGGATGTGCAGGTTTGTTACATAGGTAAACATGTAGCATGGTGCTTTGCCACACAGATCATCTCATTACCCAGGTACGAAGCCCAGCATGTATTAGCTATTCTTCCTGATGCTGTCTCTCTGCTGACTCCCTGCCCTCAACAGGCCCCAGTGTGTGTTGTTCCCCTTCATGTGTCCATGTGTTCTCATCATTTAGCTCCCAGAAAATTTTCAACATAGACGAAAGTGGAGAGAAAAGTATAATGAAACTCCATGTATTCATTACCCAATCTAAAAAAATTATAAACATAAAGCCAATCTAGTTTTATTTATTATCTCTTAATTCCCCACTTTCACCTCCCCAGAACTAATTTTAAACAATTTCTAAAGATCATATGATTCTATTCATAAACACTAGTTGTTATTATTATTTAACATAGGGAATATTCATATATGTAACAGGTACAAAGGCTGTAATATTTAAAGCTCTTTTATGTTCCCATATTAAATGTAAATATTTGTTTAAACTCATGACTTTCCTTGGTTCATCAAATCAGGTAATAAATTAACCAGACAGGTTCACATTCAATCAGATAGCATTCCAAATTGCTCCTGGCATCTTCAAAAGATCAGGATTGTTCGGATGCTGTTAATAACAATAAAACATTAATAAGTATAATTTTCATGATAAATTTAACCAAAGCTCACAAATAAGTTCTGCCTTTTCATTTCAGGATCTGGTCTTCCTTTTTAGACATCCACTTTATTAAGCCTAATTTCTTTTGTGCCATCATCCTCTTCCATTCATGGTGTTAATAATATTTTATACATGTGCTAGTAAACTGGGGGGGAATTCAGGACCCTCACTCACCTTAGGCAGCGTCCTTGTTACTCAGTGGTGCTGTTGAGGAGAATTAGAATGTACCAAGGAGGGAGTCAGGTTTTAGTCTTGGAATAGTCACTGTTCTCAGATCTCCTATAGCTGAGGGCAAAGTTGAGCATCGAAGGAGGGAGTGGGCATCAAAGTTGGTGTGTTGGGATTCTACTTTTTGAGAACCCAGATGTTCTTATTCCTGGATAACTCCAACATGTAGACACCAAGTGGGGGATAAACCTCAAGGACAGAGCAGTCCTTATCTCAGACATTACTGCTGGAGCTGTGGAACCCCTACTATCAGCAGCTTGCTATGCATAAATGTTTTCTTCACCCAGGACTGGAAGACACCCCTACCTGTGGAAGGAGAATCTCTGTGTCTTTTCCTCACTCTGGTGCAGGGTCACTGCACCTCAACAGGCTAATCAGTCATTGTATCCCATCCCCTTCCTCCCGCTTCCTTGCTTCTTTGCAGTTGGGTGGTAGGAGGGCCTGCCCTCTCTTGTGCTTCCTGTGCCCATATGGTGGACACACCTGATGAGGCCCAACTTCTGCCTTCCCCACTGCCACCTTTCCATCTATGTGGGCAGTCTGACGGTATTCTCAGTGGGCTAGAGAAGGAGCAGGAAGCCTCACTCTGGTGTCTACCCCTAGGCTGATTACCAGGGAAGCCTCCTTGGAGAATGTGGGAGACTTGCCCATAAAGCAATGTAGCATTTTCCACCTGGCTGCCACTTAGCATTCCTTATGGGTGTGTTCCATAATTGAGAATTCTGGGAGAAAAAGTTTTTGTTAGAGGATATGAGTACAAGGGTGTGAGGCTCAAACTCCACTCCAACCTCTAACTCCTAACTTGAGGAGTATTCCTTATGGGGATATTGAGACTGTATAAAATATTGCAGGGCTTATATACTAAGTTTACATGGTGTAGCTTAAAAAATAATGCTTGTATTTTTTTTTTTGTTGAACTTCCTTTTGATATGTTGTCACTGACACGTTTGCAAATTGGGGAGTTCATGTCAGTGGGGATATTTCCTCAGGTTTCTTCCCCAAGAAGTAGTCTGGGTCCTCACACCATGAAACTATCTTCTTCTGCAACATTTATTCCCTGCTTCAAATCCCACTTATTTTAATTTTACTTTAGCCTTTTCCTCCTCTCTGTTGTTGTGTCTTCTCTTTTCATTTCTTCTTTGTCCTGCATCTCCTCTATGTAACATTGTTCCTAATGTTTTTGACCTTTGTTTCTATTGATCAAGGCTGTGCTTGAATATTTTACCAAGAATCATTTATCCTAGTCTTACTAATCCCCCAAACCCTAAGAATCTTCCAGGTGGAGCATTTCTATACATCAGTTCCTGGAATCCCTGACATGGGAGACTATATAACTATAATAGTGGATCAGAAGGTATCTTATAGGAACTCCATGGCAAAGCAAGAGAATGAGACAGTTGGAGCATCCTTTACATGTCTGATCCCTGCCACTCTCTGTTCACATAGCCATGGTTTTTACCCCATTCTGATTGTGAAGGGTCTGGGGTAGGCACTCTGTATCAAACTGCAGAACACCACGGTGCCAAACTCAGGGGTACACTGTACTAGAGGGATCTAACATTATACTATGCAGAAACCTCTCTTTCTAGGGAGCAGCCCCAATTGAGTTAATGGTTTTTGAAATGGAAATTGTATCAGTTTATACCACCATTCTACATTGTAACAGTGTACAGATGTGCATTATTGAAATGGAAGCCTTTTCCCTCTGAAATAGCCACTATTCAATCTTTTAAGCACATCTAATACCTGGACGTGGAAAATGTCAGAAAAAACAAGTTGGTTAGTTCTTAACATAAAAAAAAAAAATAGAATCATTGTAAATGTTTTTTCAATCATTCAATCATCTATTAGAAATGTACCTTTTTCCTTGGTTCATTAGGTCGAATGCCTCACTGATTTTGTCAAAAGGCAGGGTATGGGTCACCAATGCATCCAGATTGAATTTCTTATTCTTATAGTCAGTGACCAGCTTTGGGATAGAATCTACACTTTTCCAACCTGTAATGTGGACAAAATGCAAAATAAAGACATGCACTTGACACAAAGTAGTTTAATCAGCATTTGCTGAACGAATGAAATTATTAGGTCAGATTTGGTTTGTTTCAAATAGATTAAACTCCTTCCATCTTTAATTTTCTGCACTTATATCTACTTTAAAAATTTTCTTTATAAGAAAAATTTAAGATTATTTTCCACTCTATATAACAAATTATCTCAATTAGATCAATGTTTATTTTTTGTTCCTTCATGTTGGTTCATTCAAATGCAAATTAAATTTCAATTTGCAAATTATAATTACTTTTTTATATAAATTACTTATAAGTAATTAATAGCTTTAGGTAGTGTTTGGATATGCTCTAAGGATTCAATGTTTGAGTAAATTATTTTTATTTCCTTTCAATAATCTTCACTCTAAGAATTTCAGAACTACTAGAAAAAATATTTAAAGCTATGAAGAAAAAAAAAACTGACCACCAAAGAATGTTCCATTTATAGTACGGCCGATTATTAGCTCCTCTGGAAAAATAGTCAATCCTTTGTTACCAGCAGCTACTCCAATGAAAGTACATGTTCCCCAGCCTGCGGTTGTACAGTCCAGGGCTGCTTTCTGTAAGATCGAACACAAAAGACTACTTGAGTCAGTGGAAAAGTAGAATATGAACTCCACTGTGGGAATGTACAATGCTTTAGAAAAAAATTAATGCAACTCTGCCTGTAAGATAATGGGATTCAAGCTAATGACATCATAGTATCATTGTAGATTGAGCCTTGAGGGTCCAGTGTTCCATTACAGATAGAATGTTCAATACAGTCTGGGTGTGGGTGACTCATGCCTGTAATCTTAGAACTTTGGGAGGCCAAGGTGGGTGGATCACTTGAGGCCAGGAACTCAAGACCAGCCTGGCCAACATGGCAAAACCCCGTCTCTACTAAAAATACAAAAATTAGCTGGGTGTGGTGTTGCCTGCCTGTAGTCCCAGCTACTTGGGAAGCTAAGGCTGGATAATTGCCTGAATCCGGGAGGAGGAGGTTGCAGTGAGCCGAGACTACACCACTGCACTCCAGCCTGGGCGACAGAGTGAGACTCTGTCTCAAAAAAAAAAAAAAAAAAATTAGTAAAATAAAAATAAAGGTGTCTAAAAAATCAGCATACATTTGTGTGTAAGTGAATAAGTTTTATATTTGCCTCTGATAAATGTTTAAAGTGTCAGAGTTTGGCAGAAAGGTTGTGAGACTATAAACCTAGCCGAATCTATCTTTGTGTGACTTTTTTTGACAAATAAGACTAATTTTAAAATTGTTAGGTCAATAACAGCAACTGAATCACCTAATTTATCAGCAGAATACCTATGTGTTTAACCTTAAGTTTCTTACTTAGGTTTTCACCTAATGTTCAGATTTTAAAAATAGTTAACAAGGGCCAGGCATGGTGGCTCACGCCTGTAATCCCAGCACTTTGGGAGGCCGAGGCAGGTGGATCACTTGAGGTCAGGAGTTCAAGACCAGCCTGGCCAACATGGAGAAACCCTGTCTCTACTAAAAATACAAAAAAGTAGCCAGGCACGGTGGCGTGTGCCTGTAGTCCCAGCTACTCAGAAGTCTGAGGAAGGAAAATTGCTTGAGCCCGGGAGGTGGAGGTTGCAGTGAGCCAAAATCGTGCCCCTGCACTCCACCGGGCGACAGAGTGAGACTCCATCTCAAAAAAAAAATTTAACAAGGAAATAACCTTAAATAATGACTAATTCTGCATAATATCTCAGTTATCAAAAGTTATCTAGATAACTGTTAAAAATGAAAAAGTATATGTAAATGAAATAAATGCTTATAAGTGGACTTTGTGTAATATAAAATCTGAAAATTATTTTAAATTAAATAATAAATGCTGGATGTGTGAGTCATTTCCAGTTAAAAAATTGTGATATAGGAAAACATACTTCTAAAATTGTGAGATATTTCATCTATAAAATGCTTACATCTAACAGTTCAGGATTTCTTGCTTTCTAAGTTTTCATGAAAATTTAAGGTTATTAGGAATAATAATTCTAATTCATATATAAATATATAATTGTATTCTCTTTTTTTTTGAGGCAGTCTCACTCTGTTGCCCAGGCTACAGTGCAGTGGCGTGATCATAGCTCACTGCAGCCTCAACTTCCTGCAGTTTCTCACCTCACCCTCCCAAGTAGCTGGTACTACAGGTGTGGGCCACTACACCTGATTAATTTTTGTATTTTTAGTAGAGATGAGTTTTTGCCATGTTGCCCAGACTGCTCTTGAACTCCTGGCTCAAGCAATCTGCCCACTTCAGCCTCCCAAAGTGTTGGAATTACAGGCGTGAGCCACTGTGCCTGGCCTGTATTCTTATTAAAAAATAATTTTATATAATTTGGAGATTATTTTAAAGTTATTTATTTAAAAAGATGAAAAAAGTAAGTAGGGGAGAGAAATATACAGTTATAAATATAAAAATGTATTTTTAATAAAATAATTTAATGATATTTTAATAAAATATGAATTATTCATATATTTCATATAAAATTTGATATAAAATTTCATATAAATAATTTCATATAAAAAAGAACCTTGTGGTAAAATCTTATCCTAAAATAAAATGACTGATTATTTAAAAAGAAAAAAATTAAGATAAGTCACAAGTCCAAGCATATCATAGATCATCTGTGTAAGTCATAATAAGGTTCATGAAGAGGAATTTATAAAAAAATTTTGTATGGAATTAAATTTGCTATAATTAAAAGATTATTATTTAGAATAGTCTTTCTAAGATTATTCCCCTGTGTTAAAACAAAGTTTCTTTACAGTATTGATTTGCTCTTAATAAAATTGAAAGAAATTTAACTTTTAATTTTATAACTTGTTTCTTTTGAAAACTTCTCAAAATCATATGTCAGAAGTTCAACTTTTGCTATGTCTCCCTGCTTTCAGCTTTGTCTCCCCTTGGACTGATATAACTCTCTTCTTTAGCCTTTTCATCAGTTATTATAAGTTTTTTCCTCCAGTTCTAACTATTCTTATGGCCTGATACTAAAATGTTTTATCTTAAAGGTCTAGGAGAGAATGTTTTCCTCCAGTACAACTTGATTCTGTACTCTTGGCTTTTCTTGATATGTTTAAATTTTTCAACGTAATCAGAAAATTTCTCATGCAGCTACTAAGAATTATGTGTTTTTCTGCTGTACTCATAATCCTGAACACACTTTTCCCATGTCTGATTACATTCAAGCACTTTTCCCATCAGGTTTATTGAAATGGGCTTCCCATAAGGAGAAGCAGTCACACTACCAGTTTTTCTTTCCCTTTCTGGTAACTGACTTAAGAAACAACATTTTACATTTTATCAAAATAATTCCCATGTTGTCTATATTAGGTTTTTAATTGCTTTAAAAAACAGGGTTAAGGTTTTTACATCCATATATCCTTATGTATTGCCTTTAAAGTCTTTTGATGATATATTTGGCTAAATGAGTAACTATTGCTTTACAGTGACCTATGGTTCTGTTTTAATCAAATGTTTTGAGGCCTTTAACATTTTTGACAAACACTTTCAAAATTAAATTCTAAATTAAGTCTCTGATTTATTGCTGGGGCTTATCAAAGCTATAAAAAATTAATCACTGAAAAGTTATAAAATCTACAGCTTCCAGTCAGGTCATAGGCTCCAGTATCACTACCTTCAGCTCCTTAAAAGGGTCCTTAGCAGGTGTTAGTAAATAATCCTTGTGCTGGTAAGTTACAGGGTGTTGACCCTTAGTTTAGAGGGCTAGAGGTCATTGAAACCTAGAAACATAGCTTTTCCTAGTTATAGAAACTTTTGGTAGGAGAATAGGTAACTCATCTTTTGGTGATTAAGTAAATCCTTCTCTTTCCAAGGATTTATTTGGATTCTCTAATGTAATTCTGTTCCATAATTGAAAATGACCTTCATGATATAATAAGTCAGTTTAATGATAGAAGATGCTAACTTTTAGGTCAGTGGTTCTCAGCTTGAGAAATTAATTTTTAAAATGTTGTCAGTGGGCCCCCAGCACACAAGAATATCCTGGGTATGGCCCATTCATTGGTGTTAAAAAAACAACAAAACAACAATGAAAAACCCCTCAGGAAATTCTAACATATAGCTAGTGTTGAGAATCTCTGTACAAGAAAAATAAGGTGAATAGGCTAAATTTTAGTGTTTGTAAATAAATGAGCCATGGGAAGCGGGGTGAAGGATGTGGCATGCTGCACACTGCAGGTACTAACATCAATTCAAAAGCAGGGCCTGAAGCCTTGAACACAGGTGAGCAGTGCCAGATACGGAGCCCTTGATGCATGCATTTTCAATAATAGCTAATGTTTATTGTGTGCTTAGTACCTGCCAGGTACTGTTTTCAGCAGTTTGCATATATTATAATGAAACTGTTCAGAGAAGAATGACTGAGGAACAGCAGCCTGTGGCTGTCATCACAAGTCTTCCTGGATCTCATTCTCTTCTGGGGAATACACCAGTTGTGTAAGAACCAAGGGGGAAGAACCAGCACAAAATTTGCTTCTGGGAAGTATAGAATTTTATGCTTTATATCTTGTCTAGAGGATGGCTTGGGAGCTAGGCTGAGTGAAGGTGTAAGTAAAAGGAATAACATCACAACTACTTCATGGCTCTCACTAATGAAATAAGAAGAATCCATAGGCAGATAATTCAGTTGATGAATTCCTTGGTCATTTCATTAAAAACAAAAACAAACAAACAAAAAACACAAAACAAAACTCCCCAAATCTGTTTAGTGTCTTTGAGTAAATACACATTAGGTGATTATTTGCTGACTCTCTGGAGAATTAAGCTGGGCACTCCAGCAAGGTAACTCTTCAGTATATTGCCTGTAGTTGTAGTTGGTTCTTCATTCCACTTTTTGGAGTAGAATAGACAGGCAGGCTTCGTAAGTGTGCAACCAGTGCAGTCACTGAGGGCACTGTAGCCTGTCTTGAGTCGGGAAGAAATCAGAATGATACAACATTGCAGTGTTCAGGAAAAAAAGGTGATTTAAATTTTGTGGTATGGTTTTTTTGAAATATAGAAAATTTCAAATGTGTAATTTGGACCTAATTTTGCAACCTATTTATTGAGATCTGATGGACAGAGCTGGGCTGTGTGCAGGTTGCTAGCCTCTCCCTGTTCTACTTTAATATGGGAGTGAATGTGTTGTAGCTATTAGGAAACACCAGTCACCCTCTCTTATTTCCTCCTCTAGATCTGCCTTCTGTATATTTTTTTGTGGGGGGAGGGCTCACTTCTCATAAAACACAATTCTTTTAAAATGTTCATTTCTAAGTTTTCTCTATTTTTTGCTGCATTTCATATAGATGAATGAACAAATATTAATAACATTAATATTAAGGACTAATAGAAATAGTTATTTACACATTAATAAACATTACTCACAATAGATTATTATATAATGTATAATATCTAAGTGTTAACAAATAGTATTTATTATCTGTAAACATGTTAATATTAAATATATCAATACATGCACATATTGTTTATTAATTTTAAATATTATATACTGTTATAGAAAAGATATTCTACATTATTAACAAATATTCATATTAATGACATGTATATAATGTATAAGATAGCTAAGCCAAACAGGTGTTTTTCCTATTTATTCATTGCAGTTAGTTAATTCATCCCTTTATATCTTTTGCTAAAGAATGCTGTCACTTAATGCACTTGTCATTTTATTTGATTTCATAGTCAAAAGGAACATTTCTCTAATTAATTAAAAATGAAGAAACCCCTAAAATTGTCTCCAAGGAATAGGAATTGGAATTATCATAGAAAACAAAATTAGAAAATATTATCTCCAGACAAATAATATTGAGCTTTTTAAAGGGATCTCAAAAGAAAAAATCAGCATCTACACATAATGCTGGCATGGCTTCTTATCACAAGAGAAGACTGAACTCACCAAGATAGTACTGGCATTTGGGGGGACACATTCATGGGCATTGAAGGAAATGGAGTATAGCTGAGGGAATGGGAAATGATTTGTGGCTTATACTTCTACTCCACTGTCATCCATTTGAAAGTACTAAGAAGGAATGGTTATAGTTACCATAATAAACATAACCCACTTTCCCCTATTATTTAATAGCCAAAGAATAAATTGAAAACATAAACCAAGAAAAAAATATACATACCATGGTTTCAGATCCACCTGCACAGTCAAGAGCAAAATCCACACCTCCCTTGGTCAATTCAATGATAACCTCCTGGATGGGTTTATGTAGGTCTCTAGGATTGAGGCAATCAGTGGCTCCCAGGGCTTTAGCCTTTGCAAACTTCTCACTGTTGATGTCAATACCTATGATTCTGGAAGCTCCTGCCGCTTTACAACCCATTACAGCAGAAAGACCCACACCTCCTAGGCCAAAGACAGCACAAGTCGAGCCAGGGGTGACCTGAAAGCAGGAAAATTATAAATTAACTTTTAAAGTAGCTAGTCCCACTTTTTTCGTTTTAAGGGGCAGGAGGAAGTGGGGGCATGAACATATGAATTAAGGACAGCCTGCTATTAAACTCTATGATATAGCCAATGGAGGAAATCTGCCAATGTGAAAATGGATGCATTACTACCTAAATTTGGCGAATTATTTAATGTTCATTAAGATTATAAGAAACAAACCCAAGTAAAAATAATTCCCTTGTTTTACTTTTTCCCTTCAGTGTTAGAACAAAATTTGAAAACCCACACATTCTGAAGGGTTTATTGCTTTCCTTTTAAAATTGGATCACTAGTAATTTGACATCTATATTTCTAATAGGCCTCATTTGGTTGTATTAATATTACAGTGATTTACTTGATCACTCCAAATCACCAGTTTGGAATGAAGTCCAATTTGTTTTACATGGCATGAAAGGATTTTTATTGTCTGACCTCTGTCTACCTTCCAACTTCATCGCCATGATATTCCCAGTACAAGAACTGCGAACAGATTGTTGCACTTCTCCTCATGCTGTAGTTGACGCTGTTCCCTCAGACTGATGTACTTTTCATCTTATTTTCTTTAATTAAAGTATAACCTATACTCCTAGGCCTGACTTCAAGGACATTCTCTCTATGAAACTTTTCTTGATTCTTTAATCAGAAATCAATGCCTATCGTTTTGTTTTTCTTGTATCATATAATTTATAACCTGCCTTGATTGTGTGTGTATGTGTGTTTCTTTAAAAGACTACATTTTATGAAGGCAGAAACTTTTTAAATTCCACATTATTATGAAAGGGTCTTCTGTATGTTGAGTCTTTAATAAATGTTTGTTTCATTGCATTAAATGGAAGTAATAGATAAGATGGTAAGAAAAGATGCTGTCACTGGAATATGTTATTCTACAGACTAGTATAGTGATAGAAAAATACTACATAGAGAGATACTTAATATTTCCTAATGAGGATGCAAAGCTGTTAGTATTAAAACATAAACAAAAGGAAAAGAGAAAATCTGCTCAAGGTAAGTATTAATACATTCTAAATTGGAAACAAAATTACTGAGCAACAGGTAAACTGCAATATTTTCATTATTTATCTATATTAGGTATGCACACCTCTGGCTTTTGCTACTCAGGGGAAATAATATATATGTATATATATTGCAAATAGTAAGAATATTGTTCTTGTGATGGCTTCTTTACTATAATGTTGTGGCATGTGTTCAGTGTGTTTCTTAATATATTTCTCCAGAGTCTCAGTTAAAAAGAGCCTGTGAGTCTCTTAGGAAGTGGAAATGCATTTTTCCCATTGCAGCAGTGTAACTACTAGTTGGATTCTCAGGCTAACTCATGACAGTGTGTAAATAGAATATGCTGCATTACTTGTATTATACAACTAGGCCCCTGTGTATAAAAGTGCATTTGCTCGCAGAACTTTGGTGGGGTCACTATAAATTGCCCCCACAATTTGCAAGTAGGTCTACACACAGTGGATGATTATCTGTCTGCAAGTACCACTGTTAGAGGATATTTCCACTCTTCCAAAGGTCTCTGTGTAATGTTGTTTAATTGGCAGATACAAGCACATCAAAAAGAAATAGGGGTTCTGGTGATGCTAGTATGTTCTCAATAATTATACAGAGAGGTTGCTTCACTTTTCTTCCCAGAAGTAAGTTAAATTTTATCAAAGCTCTTGCCTTTTGAATAGAATTACTGATACTTCACTTTCTTTAATTTCTTCCTATCAGATTCATTTCTCTCTGAGCATCCCATGAGGTGGCTTAGCAGCTGGAATCTCTTCCTTTACAGTGGGAAGAATAGCTCCTGGAAATTTAGGTCGACTTTGACTGGATTTAAAAGAAAGCTGTACAATTCCACTTCTGGATATATAACCAGAGGAAATGAGCTGTGCATACCCATGTTCAATGAAGCATTATTCACAATAGCCAAAATGTGGAACCAATCCTTAAACAAAAGGAAAAGAGAAAATCTGCTCAAGGTAAGTATTAATACATTCTAAATTGGAAACAAAATTACTAAGCAACAGGTAAACTGCAATACTTTCCTTATTTATCTATAATATTAGGTATGCACACCCCTGGCTTTTGCTTCACGAATAGATGAATAGGTAAGAAAAATGTGGTATGTGTATACACAATGGAGTACTACTTAGACTTTAAAAAAGGAGAAAATCCTGTCACAGTGAAAACATGGATGAACCTGGAGGATATTATGTTAGGTGAAATAAGCCAGGCACAGAAATACAGATACTGCATGATCTCACTTGTATGTGGAATCTAAAAAAGACAAACTCACAGAAGGAGAGACTAGGCTGGTGGTTACCAGAGTCTGGGGGAATAAATGAGGAATGGGATAATGTTGGTCAAAGGATACAAAGTTTCGGTTAGAGAGGAGGAATAATTTCTGGAATTTCATTGTACCCTATGGTGACTATAATTAATAATAATGTATTGTTTATCTGAAAATTGCTACGATAGTAGATTTTTAATGTTCTCACCACAAAAATATTAGTATATGAAGGGATGGATACATTATTAGCTTGATTTAATTATTCTACAATGTATACATATATCAAAACATTGCATTATACTTCGTAAATGTATAACAAAATTTTCAATTAAAAATAAGTAATTAAGAAAGAAAGCTGTAGCTGAATCTCTAGTGCTAATGGCCCTTAAAAGGACTGGAGTAGTAGAAGAGGATGGATTGCACGGAGCCCAGCAGAGGAAGACTTGAAGAGTGATACTTCTTCCCTGAATCTCTAGCGCCATACAGCAGAAAACAGGCTTTGACTGCCATGTGCACATCTGCTGTCAACTCCACCCAGCTACTAGTACCCTTCTCTGATTGTAGTTTGGTTTCTAATACAATTTTTAAATTTGTGTATTAATGAGTAATTGTGCGGATGAATACATTTTTAAAGGGAGATAACATGCTGATAGCAAAGAGTAGCATTTTTGTCTATGTGGCAGATAAAATTCTCAATGAAGAGTTATACTTTGGTATCTTGGCTACTAGATCAACCTCTTATTGTGGTGAGGCTGACTTTGTTTCCTTGACACTGAACAACTCTAGGTAACCTGATAGAAAGGACTTTCTGGTTTACAAAGCCGAGGACCAGGCCTCACCAGGATGTTTTAAGGGATTCACATGCACCTGGTTTTATTTGTTCATTCATTGAAAAATTATCAAGCTCCTATTATGTGCCAGGGACAATTCCAGCCTCGAGAGCTATCACAATGAATAACAGAGAGTTCTTGCCCTCAAGGAACAAATAGTACAATAGGACAGAAAAATACATGGGAGATTTCTCTATAGTGTGATAAGAATGAAGACAGAGGCTGGTGGTGGCTCACGTCTGTAATCCTAGCATTTTGGGAGGTAAAAGTGGGAGAACTGCTTGAGCCTAGGAGTTCAAGACCAGCATGGGCAACATAGGGAGACCCTGTCTCTATAAAAAATTTAAAAAATAGCCAGGCATGGTAGTGCCTGCCTGTAATCCCAGCTACTTGGAGGACTGAAGTGGGAAGTTCGCTTGAGCCCAGGAGGTCAAGGCTGCAGTGAGTCATGATCATGCCACTGCATTCCAGCATGGGCAACAGAGTGAGACCCTGTCTCAAAAAAGAAAAAAAATTTGGGGTGAAAACTGGGAAGGACACCCAAAGCATACGTGAGAACCTGAAGTAGATCTCTGAGAGGAAGTGATAAATGGAGTCAGCCTGAAGGAGGCAGGGTAGTCTTCTCTGCACTGTTGCTGGAAGCCAAGTGTGGAAAGCCCAGAGACCACAGTGACTGAAGCCTGGAGACTCAGAGTGGAGCCAAGGGAACAGTGCACAGTGGAAAGGGAGAAGTAGGAAGTCACTGTAGCCTACTGAGGAATTTGACCTCACCCGGAGGGAAAAATGAAATAATGCAGGAAAAATAAAATCTTCAGCTTGTTGTTTGAAAGACCACTCTGGCTGCATTTTGCAGTTTTGAGTCAGGAATAAAGGTTGATGTCAGGGAGGTTCAAATAAGGAAGTTATTTGAGATGTCCAACTGTGAGATCCGTCTTTGATATCTCTCTAGTTCTAGATCGGATGCTTTGTAAGAGTCTCTAAATTCTAACTTGGGATTCTAGGGACACATCTGGTCAACATCAGGGCTGCTACCAGAGACCCTCCTTTGAAACTACAAAGGAATAGGATGAGAAGCAGAAATGAACTACTACTAATTGAAGGAGAGAAATCTGTAGCATCAGGGAGAAGACAGGGGTGGTTGTGTGAAGATGGAAGTGAGCTTCTGTCATTTTTATTGCCCTTTGATGGAGTCAGCTGTCCTAGGATGAGCATTCATCCTTAGGAGACATATTTAAACAGGCTGTATTTGAATCAGGGATGATCTATAATCTAACATGTTAGTATAGTATAAGAACATATGCTGGGCGCCAATTATATGTAGGCTACTGGGCCAGATGTTTTACATATATAATGTGATTCAATTATCCCCATAAGTATTTTTAGTAGATATTATTCTAGAAGGGTTAAATAACTTGCCTAAAATCACAGAGGTAATAAATGACACAGCCAAAGTTTAGAGATAACTGGTTCATCTGTATCACACTGTCTCCCAGTAACTTCTGTTTTACACAAACTGGTGTTTAACCATTTACCTTGGCATTGTTGATTGCAGCCCCATAGCCAGTTGAAAACCCACATCCAAGCAGACAAACTCTCTCTAAATTTGCATCATCATCTATCTTGGCAAGATTAGTATCTGACACTACAGTGTACTGAGAGAATGTACTGGTTCCCAAGAAATGGTAAACTGGCTTTCCTTTGCAGGTAAACCTGCTAGTTTTGTCTTCCATTAGTTGTTGATCACTAGCAGGACTTTTAAGATTACTAGAAAATTAAAAAAGAGAGAGAGAGAGATACAAATAAAGAGGAGTTACAATAAATGGAAGACTGATCGTTTTCCTACAAAATATGTTGAGCATTATACATCTTTCATGACAATTTACACGACAGAAAAATTAGGGAAACAACAAGACTTTTCACAAAATATAGTTTGTTGGAAGCATTTTAAAGATAACAACAACACTTTTTTTAAAGTGACAGGCTCTCGTTTTGTCACTCAGGCTGGAGTGCAGGGAATAAACTTTTTTTTTTTTTTTTAGATGAAGTTTTGCTCTTGTTGCCCAGACTGGAGTGCAGTGGCACGATCTCAGCTCACTGCAACCTCCGCCTCCTGGGTTCAAGCAATTTTCCTGCCTCAGCCTCCCGAGTAGCTGGGATTATGGGCATGCACCACCATGCCCGGCTAATTTTGTACTTTTAGGAGAGACAGAGTTTCTCCGTGTTGGTCAGGCTGTTCTCAAACTCCCAACCTCAGGTGATCCTCCAGCCTCGGCCTCCCAATGTGCTGGGATTACAGGCATAAGCCACCGCACCGGCCAGGGAACAAACTTTTATTGAATGCTTTTGTGTACCAGAAATGCTTTTAAGGGCTTTACATGTATTAACTCTTAAAAATTTTTATTATGGAAAATTTGAACATGTATAAAAGTAGAAGGAATCGCATAATGAACCCTTATGTGTCCGTGTCCCAGCTCCAGTAACCATCAACTCATGGCCAATCAAGTTTCACCTATTATTCCTTCACAATACCTGCTCCCTCCGCTACACTGGAATATTTTGAAGCAAATCCCAGATATCACTATTTCATCTGTAAATACATTAACGTGTATCTCTAAAGGATTCTTTTAGGTCCACATATTTGTCGTCTCTTAATTATCTTAAATTATAGATCCCTTCTCTCTCTCTCTCCTTGCAATTTATTTGTTGAAGAAATTGAATCATTTATCTTGTAGAGTTTTCCTCATTCTGGATTTTGCTCATAACATTCCTGTAATATGGTTGAACATATTTCTGTATCCCTGTATCCCCTCATAAATTAGTATTTTTGATGTAAACACTTGATCTGATTCAGATTTTATATTTTTGTGGTAATACTTTATAGGTGGTATTGTATATTTCATTTGGAATATCTAATTATCTCTCTTTTTATAACATTTATTAGAAAGAATTTATTGGCATTGTCTAAATCCATTATTTTATTAAAGCTTTGCAAAAAATATTAGTTCTTTGAATATCTACAACAAATCTATGAAGCAGGGATTATTTTGATCCTCATTTTTTAGATGAAAAAATTGAGGCACAGTAATAGATGTAAGAGTAGTACAGTTTTAGCTTCTTAAATAACTGCTTTCAACTAGTATTAAGGAAGAAAGGATCCGTCTGTAGTCTCAGTAAAGCAAAAACAAGATGATTAAGATTGTGGACTCTGGAGCCATACTGCCTGGGTTAAAACCTGGCTCTAAGACTTATAACTATGTTGCCTTGGAGTAAATCACTTTACTGTGCCTTATTGTTTCCCTCTCTCATCCCTGTAGAAGTAGTTATTATTCTGAATTTGGCATTTATTATTTCAGTGATTTATTTATGCTTTTACTACATATACAAATAACCATTAGAAAGTATAGTATTGTTTTTGTATATGACACCTTACTAAATATTCCTTCATCAATTTGCTTATTTCCCTTAACATTATGTGTGTGAGATTATTTTATGTTAATACATGCAGCTCAAGTTTAGCCATTTTCATTGTTGTGTAGTAGTCCATTGTGCTACTACATAGCAATTTTAAAATTCATTCTCTTTCTGATGGACATTTGTGCTGTTTTAAATTGCTTACTATAATAAGCAGTGTTGCAATGAACATTCCAGCACATGTTTCTTTGTGTGCACTTGCAATAGTATCTTGTACACACCTAGGATTAGAATTAGTATGTGGAAGGTTTGCACCTCTTCAAGGCCATTTAGGTAATGTCAATGTGCTTTCCAAAATATTCATTCAAATTTATACTAACAGTGTAGAGTGCTTACCTGATTTTTCCACAAAAGTTTGTGAGTGGACTCAGACAAAACTTGCATTTTCTACATAGAGGTGCATAAAGTGGAATTACTTTGTCACCTAGAAAGAAAGGCCATATGTTGGATGGTGCCTAAGGTGTTACTTATAGTTCCTACCAGATAAATCAGTGAAAAACACTTTTTCTTTATAGTATACATTTTATATTCAGTGGAAAGTATAGGTGGCTATAATATTTCATTACCTTACAAGACCGCAGATTCCCCCAAGTATTGCCTATATTGTATTTTTTAAAAAATTACTCTGCTAGGCAGTCAAGCAACAAATCTGTGTTGATATCATCAGACACAGAACTCTGGGACTTTGCTGTCATTATGACTCTCTGCATCATGACTGTTGTTTATTACATTTCCAAACACCATGTATGAAACATAACATCCTTATATAATAGGAGAGGTAAACAATTATAGGCTAGGTATAAACTTTATATCATTGCCATGTTTCACCTTTAGATTCACTTTCAAATTCCACATTTTCCCACTTTTAAATAAATTCCAATTTAATAATGACTTCTGTGCTTCAATGCCTGAGGTCTAATGATGATAATTCACATTCGTTCAACATTTAATACATGCCATGCATGCATTTAATACATAACTATTTACAGGTATTATTTCAGAACTTAATTCTCAGAACAACTCTTTGAGATGAGCCCTATTTTTATTCACACTATATAAAACAGAAATCTGAGCTGAATCACAGAAAAGTGACATAACTGGTCAAGATTACATAGCCAGTAAGTGGCAGAGCTGGAGCTAAAGGGATGATATTGGCCAGACTCCTTCATTGACACAAAATGTTGGGAAGCAATTTGTTTGTACAGTCTTTTTTGGAATGGAAAGGTACTAATGTACCTCTAACTTTGGAGCATTCTCATTCAAAGAGAAAAGAGTGGCATGGTTCATCCAGCCTGCCAAATGAGGATTACATAGCCCATATTCTAGTATCTGGAGGATCTGTTGTAAAATGTGGAGTAAATAATTTCAGCTATTGATGTGTGCTTCATTTAGGTATTATGTTTATCTTACAAACTTCCAAAAAGACACTTCGGCTAACACTGACATATGTATATTTCTCACTAAAGCTACCTCTAAGTCCTAATTCTTTACATAGTTTGCTGTTAATATTAAAATAGTTTGCGTTTTTATATAGAAGTTGTTATAACATGTCATTAACAAAACCTTTTATCTTATACCAGATGCAGTGGCTCATGTCTATAATCCCAGTGCTTTGGGAGGCTGAGGCGGGCAGATCACCTGAGGTTGGGAATTCAAGACCAGCCTGGCCAACATGGTGAAACCCTGTCTCTACTAAAAATATAAAAATTAGCCAGGTGTGGTGGCTCATGTCTGTTATCCCAGCTACTCTGGAGGCTGAGGCACAAGAATTGTGTGAACTCAGGAGGTGGAGGTTGCAGTAAGCCAAGATCGTGCCACAGTCCTCCAGCCTGGGCAAAAGAGTAAGACTCTGTTAAAAAAAAAAAAAATGTCTGGGCACCATGGCTCACGCCTGTAATCCCGGCACTTTGGGAGGCCAAGGTGGGTGGATCACCTGAGGTTAGGAGTTTGAGACCAGCCTGGCCAACATGGTGAAACCCCGTCTCTACCAAAAATAGAAAATCAACCAGGTGTGGTGGCACATGCCTGTAATCCCAGCTGCTCGGGAGGCTGAGGCAGGAGAATCGCTTGAACCCAGGAGGTGGAGGTTGCAGTGAGCTGAGATTGCGCCACGGCACTCCAGCCTGGGTGACAGAGCAGGACTCTGTCGCAAAAAAAAAAAAAGGAAAAACAACACCTTTAATTTTAGATTTAGGGGTACATGTGCAGGTTTGCTATATAGGTAAACTCGTGTCATGGAAGTTTGGTGTACAGATAATTTTGTCACCCGGGTACTAAGCATAGTATCCGACAGTTATTTTTCTGAGCCTCTCCTCCCTCAATCCTTCATCCTTAAGTAGGTCCCAGTGTGCCTGTCATTGCCCCATTTGTATCCACATGTTCTCTTTATTTAGCTCCTACTTATAAGTGAGAACACTCAGTATTTGGTTCTCTGTTCCTGCAATAGTTTGCTAAGAATAATGACTGACAGCTTCATCCATATGCCTGCAAAGGACATGATCTTGTTCTTTTGTAAGGTGTCATTTGTTAAACATGGAAATTTCAGTTTAAGCTAACCTTGTAACTGCTTCATAGGACAATTTCTCAGTGCTTTATGTAAATAAAGTGACCACATTTCCCAGATTTTATTAGACAGTTCTGATTTCAAATATTCTGTCCCGCTGCTAGACTGTGATAGATTGTGTGTCTCAGTTTTACTTTGGAAAAGATGGTCCCCCTTTGTAAATAGAGATCAATTATAGCATGCCACGCCAGGACTCTATCAAGAATTATCTCTGAAATATTGTGACATTTCCATTTTATCTGAATAAAATAAAATACCTGGTTTGAAGTTGGTCACTCCTGGCCCAATACTTTCCACAATCCCTGCAGCCTCATGGCCAACGATCACTGGGAAAGCTAAGCCCTCAAATTTAGAATCGATAACAGTGGCATCAGTATGGCACAGGGAAGTAGCAATGATCTGCAAGGCAATTACAGACGTGAATTGTGTTTCTGCAACTATATTATTGAACTAGATGTTACATATAATATTAGGCCTGATATCATTTTGAAACTTTATAAGACTTCTAGAACTCAGTAAAAGAATCACCTTTTGAAAAAAAGAACCAATAAAAATATACTAGGTTAAATTTGTTTCCTCTTATAATGCATCTTTGTTTTCCACCTTTTGCTGTTGTCAGAAAATCAAAAAAGAGATAGGATTGGCAATTATTGCCTCCAGGAGAGGAAAAAATCAAAGGTAAATAGGGCTTATATTATAGAGTTATTATATTATAGGCTTATTATAGGGTAAATTTGCTGAAATAAAGTTAAGGTAATATACCTTTTACAGTTGCGAGAACGATATCAAATCAAGGATTGTCTACATTAATTACCAATATATATATCTATATTCTTCTTCAAGGTTCTGTCAATGAGGATGTCCCATTCACTCTCATGTACAGACTCTTAATGTGGGGGTCCTCAGGGAAAATATAAGTCTGGTCAGCTTGGGAAAAATGGAGAAAGTCCAAACTTGCCATCGGTGATCTCACTCTATTCCATGTACTCTCTTCTTCCTGTGACCTACTCCTGTCTCTTCCTCTGGATACCCAGGACCCTTCGGCTGCCCAGAGCAGCATATCAGGTTTTTCTTCTTTGCTGTTTTGGATCAAATTCTCTATCTTCCTTTTAATAACACTTTCAAATAATTAGCAATTGGAAAACAAAAAGAAAACCTAACTAATTCAAATTCAAAGTGAATTCCTTTGTCTGATTCTTAGGGTAAATGATTAATGTTAAGACCAATTAAATTTTAAAACCATTATTCAAAAATTACTAAAATAATGGATGATTTATTCCTTTTTGGGATAATGCCTATTTTTGACTGAACCTAAAAATACAACTTCCCTATACTAGAAACTCCAAGGCCTCTGAATCATAGCACATAGGATTGACATGACAGAAGCCATGTCTCCACTTGAGGCCCTGTCTGCTCCCACCCAAGGAAAGTCTCCACTTACCTGAATGCGAACTTCGTGAGCCTTGGGGGGAGCTACTTCAACCTCTTCAATGCAAAGGGGCTTGCCTGCTTCCCAGGCGATGGCTGCTTTGCATTTAATAACCTGAAAGAGAGAAAGAAAAGGAAGAAGGAGATAGAGATTTTGACAGGATTGGGGGTGGGAGAGAGGATATCATGAGAAAAAAATTAGAATATATTAATACTATAATTTCACAACAAAGAGTTAAAGAGTTCGTGGCTGGATCTTATAGATATTATTTTAAAGACAAGGGATCTTAATGAAAAATAAGAAGTTAAATTCTACATTATAGTCATTACATTTTTTATTTCTTGAAAAATAATAACAGGTGTATTAAAGTTTACCTTAATATAATGCCTCAAGTTTTTCCCTCTATAACAGAGAGGATAGATTTATAGAGTTGGAAAAGGTAGATGGCCTACAAAAATCTATTGAGTGAACTGTTTGAAATCAGCTCTGAATTACCTGAGTCAGATAATTGCTGGAGAATAGATGTGTTTTACATCTTTGCAACTCGAAGTGTGGTCCTCGGACAAGCATTTATTCACATGACTTGGAAATTTGTTAGAGATGAAAGCCCTGCCTCAAATCCACTAACTCAAAATCTGCATTTGAACAGTGTCCCCAGAGAATTCACTAAAAGTCTGAGAAATGAGGCTTACATAATTATCAAATTTATCTGTAGGATATAAATTAAATTTAAAAAAATTTGGTCTAATTGTAAGAATTTGGGGAAAGATGAATGAACAGAATTTAAGTATTTAGGATTCTATAATCCCAATTCTTTTCTAGCCTCAAATTATATTTTTAATTTCAAATATAAGCAACATTGAAAGAAAGCACAAAGAAACAAACCTATAATCTTCTGTTCTAACACTACTATGCTTACATTTGGTATACTTTTCCCAAAGTCTTTGACAACATGAATATCTATTTTTCAATAGTTAAGTAATTTTGAATTATGTTTTTGAATATTATTTATTTTGTTTCAAAGGAAATATATATTAATTATAGGAAGTTTCAAAGTGCCAAGGCATATCAAGTTTTTAAAGACAAAAAATAAAATGAAATTCATCTGTGAGCTCATTACCCACTTTATGCTTTTGATGCAAATTCTTTGAGTATCCCCAAATAAGATACATTGTCCATAGTATTTTATAACATGCTTTTTCTACTTGTTAATATACTGTGAATGTTTTCCTATATTCTCCTGCAACGTTATTTGTAACTTATGCATATTCTATTTTAGGGTTACAGCCTAGTTACTTAAATCTCTTCTTTTGGCAATTTGAATAATATTAATATTAACTGAACACCCTTGTAATAAACATTTTGACAATCCACAGTTAATTTCCCTGGAATAAATTCCTGGCATAGGGGCCACTCATATCCTTTTGATCAACTGTAAGTCACTGCTTCCTGAGTTCCTGAAGGAAGCTTCTTTTAGCCAAACATACAAAGACACAGAAAAGCACAAACTGAACAAAGATACAGCTTATTTGCTTACTTTGCCCTTGGTGCCCATTTTTCTTTGAGAAACTGTGTTGGGAGTTTCTTTCTGAGTTAAGAAGGCTTCCACTGCTCCCCAGAGAGTTCTGTGTCCTATAATGAGCCGTCTGCATAAATACCATTCATGTTGCATAATTCTCCAATCACTTTCTTTCCTTCTTTGTTGCTGTAATTCACAGCTCTGCCGGCCTCTTACCACGTCATTTGTACTATTGGACTTCAGCTGCAAAGCCCACTACTCTCAGTGAGCTCCAAGATTTTTAAAATTCTTTTTTCTTTAATTGAAAAATATAAAATAATAGGGAAAAGCCCATTAAACGTATAAAGAGGAATTACCAAATAATTATGAAGTAAAGAAAATTTCTACCCCTTAGAATTGCCCATTTAACTTACTTATTCTCCTCCTTCACAACTCTCATAATCATTTCTGCATTTTTAGTGGTTTACTACCTATTTATGCTTCTCTATCCAATAGTTTAATCTAGCAAAGCCTTTTTATGAATGGAATCATAGTGTATGTATTGTTTCATGTCTTTTTTCTCCCCTCTACTCTAGTGAGAATCATTCACATTGCCTGTGACTGTAGGTTATTTTCATTACTCTAGAATATTCCACTGTATGAATTGAACATAATTTATTCACCCATTTGCCTTTTTGCTGTTTTTTTCCTTTTTGCTTATGATGAATTAGTGGTTACATACACATTCTTTTCATGTACGCGGTTGCACATATGCTTGAGTTGCCTTAAAGAAAATTCAGAACTGATATTCAGCCAGTACCCACTATGAAGTCCATGCCAATTATCAAAATTTGGAAATATTTTTATTCAGCTTGGTAAAAAGTCACTATCCCAAGTCCTCAAGTTCCCCTTCAACTCTGTTGCAACCCTGGGGGTCCCTATTTAGTCACTGCTAAGGAGCTACTCTTCTTGTCCCGCCTGATGTGTGAGTCCATCAACCAGCCCTGATGGTTCTGGGTCTCTGGCTGTTCCCCCAAAACAGAATAGTCCCTGGAATCCCAGTAGAGAAATACCTAGTGTCCATCTGACCTCCTGGGGCTGTGGCCACCAGTGCTGTGGGTCAGAACTCCCCTGGAGTCACATATGTGTTTCCATTTGTGAGAAATGGAGTTTCCTATCTGTACTGGTTGTTAAATATTTTTTGACTAGGAGTGGAATTAAAGTCTTCAACTTTAATAAGAAGGCCAAGGAATTGTACAGAATGGCTTCACCTACCATCAGCAGTGCATGAGGGTCTTTGTTGCACCACATCCTCACGCATGCTTGGAATTGGCAGACTTTAAAAACTTTCTTAATCTAGTGGTGTGTAAAGATATCTAATTGTGTTTTTAAAATTTGTATTGATCCGATTGTTAATAAGGATAAGCACCAGTCCTGTACTGGAATCAGCTCATACTGATTTTGTTGTGCTTATTCTATTAACTAGTGAGAGATGTTTAGAAATCATTATGATTACTCTGATTTGATCATTACAAATTGTATGTGTGTACTGAAGTATCATAGGTACTTCACACAATATGTACAATTCTTTCTGTACATATTAAAATTAAAAATAAAAATGAATAAATAATAAAATTATTTAAAATAATAACTAAAAATAAAAAGAAACAAAAAATACATCATTATTATGAATTTGGTAATTTTTGATAGTGCTTTTTTTTATTTTATGTATCTTGAAGCTTGATATTACGTGCATGTAAGTATTCTGCGTTCCATGTACTTTAGGAAATTTAACAACATATTTTTACTATCTTTCCCTGGCAGTGTGTTTTCATTATCTGCATCATTTCTTTTAATAGTCCTCTAGTATTCCACCATCTCTTAAATATTTCAGTTCTATTAAACTTTTTGAAAGCATAATTTATACTCTTTGTTTCTACTTTTTCACTAACTACATTTCACTCAACTCATTTGATTTCCATCTCTTTGTTCTATTGAAACTGTTTTCCCCAATGCAATGCATGCCTTTTTTTCAGTTTACTCTGATTGGAGCATCTACTGTGGCCAACTAACCCTTTATATTTCCTTAAGGTGCGTCTCCTGGTTACTATCTTGCATTCCCACTCTTTCTATTTGGATATGGTCTTTTTCCTTTTTGAATCTCTGTAGCACTCGTGTTTGCATAACTCTTCAGGCTTACACATAAATAGGCAAATGAAGCAAAGTAAGTTTTGCTTATTTTGTCTCATGTTCTGTTACTTGTGTCTTTTCTGACAACCTGTTTCCTACCTGTAGCCTCCTTAACTGTGGAGATTGTATTTTATTTACATTTCATATCCTGAAGAGTATACTTCAGAGCCCCCCCAAAATACTAGGTGATTACTAAATGCTGGTCAAATTGAATCATGACCTTGGAAACACAGTCGGCACTAACACTGTTTTCTGAATGCTTGGTATCTGTCTTTTTTTGGTCTTTGCTTCTGTGCTGCACTTTGATAAACTTTTTGAAGTTAAGGATGGTCTTTTCCTTTCTATAGATATCAAAGGACCTGCTGAGAATTGTTTTGAGAGGAGAAGGGAGAAGAGGTATCAGAATAGTAAATCCTGGGCATTTGAATGTGAGGGCTTCTTCTAAAGGTTAAAAAAAAAATCATGGATTCTTCTTATGAGAATGGTTTTACCTTTTGTGACTTTTCATTTTTGGGCTTCTAGATGTTTTCAAAATTCCCAGTGTTATATATACCTTTAGAAATATAATTTCTCTCCCATTATATTAGCATAAATAATATTTTATAATATTCCATCATTCTCAACTTGAATACCCAAATAGCACATTTGAAGCCCAAGATGTTTCAAATTGAACTCATTGGGTTTCTGCACCAACCATTCCTTTTTTTTATTTTTTTTTGAGATGGAGTCTCGCTCTGTCACCCAGGCTGGAGTGCAGTGGTGCGATCTTGGCTCACTGCAAGCTCCACCTCCCAGGTTCACGCCATTCTCCTGCCTCAGCTTCCCGAGTAGCTGGGACTACAGGGGCCCGCCACCAAGCCTGGCTAATTTTTTTTTTTTTTTTTTTTTTTTTTTTGTATTTTTAGTAGAGACGGGGTTTCACTGTGTGTTAGCCAGGATGGTCTTGATCTCCTGACCTTGTGATCTGCCTGCCTTGGCCTCCCAAAGTGCTGGGATTACAGGCGTGAGTCACTGTGCCCGGCCTCCTTTCTCCTTATTTTTAAAATAATTGTTTATTTTCTACATCTAAGGACATCTCTCCTAGATTCTAAAACACTTTCCTTTTCATGTTAAAATCTCTGTAATCAGTTGCTTCTTACTATGAATGGCGTATCATAGTTTAATTGGCAGCATTTTTCTTTCATAATGGTACATAAAATTATGGTGTACCTGACAATTGATGTCTTAGCCCTGATAAGGTAGGGTAGTTGTAAAAATGTGTAGATTGCAATTCCTTAGCATTTCACCCATTTGTCTTTTTTTTTTTTTTTTTTTGAGACAGAGTCTTGCTCTGTCTCCCAGGCTGGGGTGCAACGATGCTGTCTCGGCTTACTGCAACCTCCACTTCCAGGGTTCAAGTGATTTTCCTGCCTCAGCCTCTGAGTAGCTGGGATTACAGGTGTCCACCACCATGCCCAGCTAATTTTTGTATTTTTAGTAGAAACGGGGTTTCACCATGTTGGCCAGACAGGTCTCGAACTCTTGACCTCAGGTGATCTGTCTGCCTCGGCCTCCCAAAGTGCTGGGATTACAGGCGAGTCACCATGCCTGGCCCATTTGTCTTTTTCTGCCTACACTTCTACATTGTGGTTCATTTCCTCACTATTTCTTTTCTTCCTGTTTTAAAACAATTGAGATAATATTTACTTAACATAAAATTTACAATTTTATGTACACCCTTTCAAGGTGTACAACTTAATGTTTTCAAAATATATTCACAATGTTATGCAACTATCACCACTACTAGTTCTAGAACATTTCTTTTTTTTCTTTTTTTTTCTGAGATGGAGTCTCGTTTTGTCACTGAGGCTGGAGTGCGGTGGTGTGATCTCGGCTCACTGCAGCCTCTGCCTCCTGGGTTCAAGCAATTCTCGTGCTTCAGTCTCCCGAGCAGCTGAGACTACAGGCACCCGCCACCACACCTGGGTAATTTCTGTATTTTTAGTAGAGACAAGGGTTCGTCATGTTGGCCAGGCTGGCCTTGATCTCCTGACCTCAGGTAATCCACTCGCCTCGGCCTCCTAAAGTGCTGGGA